CACTTGCCGTGACTCGCGCGTCCCGAACAATTATGGTTATGATTGCGTCAACAAACCGCCCGCACGTTCTTTTGAGATTGACTTCCCACTCAACAATAACGGAATTTAATGCGTTTAAATGAAAAAAAAAACTTTTGTACGTCTCACCAATTCGTTTAGTTACGAAGTAAAATGTTAAAGGAAAGTTCAAGATTTTATTTTCTATTCATTCCGTTGATTGTAGTTAATATTATGACGATGAGAGAAATTGTGACGACAATGTACTCTTTTGATTTCTAATAACGGCCATTTATGTCACCTAAAAACTACTTATCGAAATATATTTTATATGGATTATGAATGTGCTAATATATATGTATATGCAATTGCATAGTAAATGTATTTATTAATGAAGACGTATGAATTCATTCTATAAAAATTATGTCAGGTTTCTTGATTTTCTCCAATTTCTCCGGGCCACTTTTCTATTTTTTCCTTAAACTGTATTAGGAGTTGACATACATGCCACCAACTAATGTGTTTTTATCTGGTGCGTTCAAAATATGTAGGTATATTTTGTCCGTGTTTACCGTATCAAGTGAACTTGATTATAGCTGAAATTAGGTATTTTTCTCTCCTTGTGCCAAAAATCATTGAACTGACAATTGTTTTGTATCATTCCGGTGAATTTTAGTGTATTTAGAAAATATACATAATCCTTTCATTATATGTGTCTTAATCATATTTATACAACTTTTATTTATTTAGCGCTGAATCCCGTTTTTCAAAGACTGGTTACGTCGTAGCGGGATATATATTCCCACTTTTTGTTATTCACAAAATCTACAGGTCAAACAGACAATGAGTAACGTAATGAACATCCAACGTTAACCTTTTTAAGAGTTGCTTACTCTATGTTGTAATTTAACCACGAATCAGGAGCTTATAAAGCGGTTCCGCTTAATTAACACTACAATGTTGACTGACTTTCGCAAGTATCAGTGTCAAGGGCAAATTATTTTGACTCATGTCTTAAATACTTATCTCTAAATTACGGTTTTCCATATCAGATATTTTCAATACATCGTATGACCTTATCATAATAATATTGAGTAGAAACATTTCTAATTCAGATGGTAATGAAAAGTTAAATCAACACGTACAACACACGTGTATTAAAAAAGAGTTTTTGTGTATTTTTATATTTCTTCTTAACAATAATTAAGTTTACCTATGAGTAGTATCGGTTTTTAACAGTGCGTATGTGCAAATTGTGGAAATTATTGAGTAAATGATTTCAATTATTCATTTTGCATTGCAATTATATATCGGCAGCTATTAGTGGGTCATGAAAAGCGGTGCCGGCGCTACCAGCTGTTGTTTGAGCCATATTGCCTACACGATTGCTTCATTTAATCACGACAGTAGACACGAACGAAATGTATATATTAATGTTCTTCTTTGATTCGTTTATAAAATGATATTTGCAGAAATACTACTGAAAAATGTAAAGACGGCTTTGTTTTTCCATTTAAAACTGTGCCGCCAGTTAAAATTATACCTATTACAATTTGCTCGTCAATGTATATTTAAAAAACCTTGTTAGCTTCATTAAACACATTTTTTTGTGTACATGTATGTATCTTAATGATGTTGATTGTTGACCTAGCTTCAAGGCTTATAAGACGTAATGGGGTCAGAAGCTGTGTCAAAACTACAATAGTAGGCAGATGATTAATAAGATTTGATATTCGTGAGTCTTTTTTTAGCCGACCTCAAAATCGAAATGAAATAGGAATATATGTTTCTCTCAAGAAATCTATATTCGACGACGGGTATGGGTATGATAGAGTAGCTTGATGGCTTAGTGGATAAGCGCCACGGCCCGCGATCGTTGTTGTTAAGCAGCTATCGCAAAGGTCAGTAACGGGATGGGTGACCAAAAAAAAATTATGTCAAGCTACTCCGTGCTTCAGAAGGCACGTTAAGTCGTTATTTAAGAGAAAGCTGCTCATTCTTCTTGCTTCGAAAATCATATTCACACAAGGCAATAAAAAATATTTTTCACGGTTTTATGATTCAAAATTAACTTAATTTTTTCACTCACCGTTACCTCAGTTTTAATACTATCCTAGTGTTGGTCGTAGGGGAATACTATTACACAAAAAACAACACACATATGGCTCGCATTTTCAAAGAGTTGCCAGATTTCTTGTAGAGTTAAGCTTCTATTCTAACTCTACGAACTGCAACTCTCAAGCTTTAATTCATAGATTCAATTTAGCCAATATATGTAGTTTGAACGTTTCGTATTGTAATAACAACCTATTGTATAACATAAAAGTAATGGCAGTGCCGGAGTAACTAAGTAACAAAAGTAGCAAATGCAAACAGGCACCGCGCGTTTGGGGGGCCCGCCCAATAAGGATACGCGCTATGACTTGACCAATAAATTAATTTTTTCGTCGATGTTAATAAATGCATATTTTTTTATGAAATAAAATAAGCCATGATTCTGCCTAAACTCACATTCTTAAGTTAAACTGAAGTTTAAAACTGATAATAAAACTCAAGTCACAGATTAGTTGCGTTATTCGGAAAGCAAAGGACGACTTTTCTGTTTCGATTGCACAGTTAATGATTCCGATTATTCGTCACCGTCATCACGAAAGATATACTCGTACATATGAGGTGATTGGAAGAATGCCCATAATTTTGAAAAGCCATAAACAATAACATACCATTATTTTGTTGTTAAATAACAAGAAGGCGCGTGTTGATACTCACATTGTACCCAAGTCAGATTGAGTCTGAATAATTGTATTGGCGGTTAAATACAAATGTTAACAATGAAATGTTACAAATAAAGAACACTTTGTTTGTAAGATTTTTTTATTTATTTCAATTATAAACTCAATGCAATTGGTTTGCTTTGGTTTGGGCACCTCAAAAAATTTGCTACAGGCCCCTTGACTTTTTCGTACGTGATTCGTAATCGGTTTAATAAAGTCACTGATTGAAACTCTCATTGATTGTTAATAACGTGATTGCTACTACTTGATGATTGTGGTGAATAAACTGTAAATCTTACATTCTCCATATTATGGTAGCGAAACAACCAAGCCACATATTTCTAGGCAGTTCTTGTCTAGGAAGTTAGGAATGTACCGATACTCGTTAAAGAATCAGTGCTTTATCCCACCTAGTGAAAAAAATATTATTTTAATTTATAATGAGTAAAGTAATACAGGTTGCAATTCTCGTATGTGAAGTAGATTGTTATTTATACGAGAGTATGCATCCCCTCGGTGTCAGTGTTCATTAAGAATGCGTCTAACGCCGGTAAATAGTATTTTTTTCCCCTTTGCTTCTCTACATTTTGCGTATGGCGATACAGATAGAGGCAGACGATAGCATATATTTGGTATAAAAATGGGTCGAAGTAAATCCATTACAAATGACTCATTATAGATAGATTTATAAACTGGCCAAGTGCAGCGAGCGGCAATTAAAAAGGAAACCTAGATTTCTTATACGTTCTTTTGTAATCTAGTATAGGGAAAGACATATGTTAGTAGGTTTTTTCTATACTAGGCTTCCCCACATATTTGCAGGTCTTTGTTTTTATCACATTTTTGTCACTTATATAGGTATTATGGTAGATTATTGATTTGTCCTTATTTCCCTTTTACTTCCACCACTTTCTTCTTATTTCTATTGCGCACTCTCGTGTATCTATTATCGTTACGTTTCAATTACGTGTATCTTTAGTCGATGTCATAACTTAAGCAAATATTTTCAAGGGGTGTATTAAGATTATTCTCAATGCCTTAAGTTGTTTAAGTAATCGACTTATCATTAAAAAAATAAAATCAAAAACGAAAACATGTTTAAATGACATTTGAAATGGCTTAAGAACGGTTTGAGACGCGCTTAACTTTAAATTCTCAATTCAGAAACCGGGTGTTAATAGTTTATTCTATACAGTTCATTTGTATATTTATTTTCATTCATTATTCACAATTAATTTAATATTATTTATTTGCTTCAGCCGCCCTCTTAATACACACCTAGTATTATAGTGTAGTAGAGCAACTACTCTAATAATAGAATAAACGAGCGACGCCCGCGCGGCACGCGTTTCCATTCACCGTTCAGCGGCGGCCTTGGCCGCCCATGGAGTATTGACGCATCCTCGCGCACAACTACGTCTCATATAACATACACGAACACATGCTATATTTATGAGCCGATTTTACGCTTCCAATAAACATTCCTTCCATTGTATCGGTAGAACTCGTTGATTTGCGTATCCGTAAATAAATACAAAGTGAAATGGTATAGCTTCTTTCGTTGTTCAAACATTTTTTTTTTAATAAATGTTGAGAATTATGGTGGATGGAGAGAGTATAAACTCGATAGGGTTTCGTATTTAATTATAAAGTTTCCATGTCCGTCTTGTCCACCCGGACCAAAGACCTCGTCGTGATAAACCAAATTACCCCAAAGTTCATGGTTTTACCATACAACATTATCATCAGATATGCATACAAAACTTCAAAATTAGCTCGCAATATTAAGTGTGGGTAGTAACTTCTATATAAATTCGTTTGGATTTTTTTTTAATAAATAAACCGTCCAATTTGCGATATACATATTTAACAATACGTACCTATAAATGTAGCAACTGCGAATAGTACTTTAGGTAACAAAAGTTACATTTTAAAGCCACGCTCAAAATGTTTGGATTAAGATAATTTATATGTAGATTGTAGAATGACACAATCCACCAATCTTTGTATGGTTCTTCAATATTCTACGTGGATATCATAAAAACATACCCTCACTCAGCTTTTACGACTGTGCAGGTGCGACATTATCTGACTGCATCATATATTATGCTTTTAAATAAGCAAAAGATTTGTCTAGTTTGAAAATAGACTTTACTATTTTTAGTGTCACTTCGTGGTTTTATAGAATACCAAAGGTTAAAATTTTATTTTCATATTATTTATTTTCAGAACCAAAGAAAGACAAATTGGAAAATGGTGGGGAGCTGGTGAGGCCTGAGCGACCCAACTCCTTGACAGCAGTCGGGAAAATCCCGCGGCGGATATGCTATCAAGGGGACGTTGGTGAGTTACCTTTATGTTACATATTAGTCTATAATATAGCAGAATAAATATGCAAAAAAGACAGTCTAAATGTTAAATATGAGTAACAGAATCTCAAATATATTATAAATATATCTTTCAGTTCTCCATTACTTCAATTATCAATACTAAATCAAAATAACAGCCACCGAATGTATTCAAAATGCCTTGGCATTTTAAATCCATAAGTGTATTTGCGCAACAAAAACCTTGACTGTTCTGTCGTGTATTACTTTTGTTAAATAGCATAGCCAGCTATTCTCATCTTGTCTATTCAAAATATTGCTTTACAGGTATTTATATACAGATACAATATAGGTTCAGTTCCAAACAGAGCAACGGGAGAAACCGAACCTATTTTTTTTATTTTTAATAAATCAACATTAATTTGTGAAGGGAGCTATCTTCTTGAACAAAAAAGCTTGATTCTGCACTGTATTATTTACATTTTGCCCTAAAGCCGGACTTTGTCTTCTTTATTAAATGATACTTTGTGTTTTTTAGTTTTTAATGACAACTATTATGATAATGTAAAATCTGTGACAAGTTCAAGTTGTTTATTATTCACAGATTGACTATAAATACCAGTAAGATAATAATAACATTAATTAAACTAACTTATTTTTTGCCTTTACTTGGCTTATCAACAAACAACGGCCTGACATGTAAATACTTAGCTGGACACAACCAAAAAAAGTCTTTCTTGCTAAAATCGGACAGATGGCAACCCTAATTCTCTACGCATATAGAACTATGAAATAAAACTAAACTACTTTAATATATTTCGATTATATGCGCGATGAGGGCTAAGTATTAAAATCATACAAATATATTTAAATTTCTGGTGTAAAGTTAGCCTCCATTATTGACACATGATGGATTTTTTGTAGGTGGGTACGGGGCGTCCGGCGGCGACGGTGGCGACGAGCCTCTAGTTCTCTCAGAGTTGCCAGAGCCACCTATCGCCTTATCCGAGATTGGACCTATCCCACCGCCGCCCATGTTCAGCTCGCCAAGCCCTACCCGCCACCACCAGCATCAACACGCTATTGTTCAGCATCCTCTGTCTGACTGTGAGCAATCATGCACAATACACGTGTTTTAAGTACTAAATTATATAGCTTGCTAAGTACGATTATATTGGCTTCTATTTATATTCCAGCTGTCATTGCTTTATATGATACCCTAACGCCTATTATTAGCACGCTACGTAATGTAGATAAAATTACTAATAGAGAAGATGGCAGGGTGGCAGATAAAAAATAATATATTTTCGATCTTTTGTCATTATAACAGAAAGGAATTTGCGCTGTAGTAGACTACATCCTTGATGACGAGACAGAAAAACGTTGACTGAATAAAATGTCAGTATGAAAGTTAGCAGAGATACAAGATCTATACTGTAATTATATTGTGTTGGTTCGAACATGTGGAAAAAATGCTGAAATTTTATACAAAGTTTACTTATACGAAGGCTTATATTAAATACCATAGAGAAACTGTAAAAACGGTATACATGTACGAAAAAAATTATGAATGTCAAAGACGTAAAGATTGTGTCTAGAGCTCAATCTCCGTTAAACGAGATTTGTTGCGCTAATTTAATAATCGAACCATTACTGTTTCTCGTAAGTTGTCGTTGTATTGCAGCCGAGGAGGAGGACGAACAGGAGGATGAAGATACTCCCCTCCCTATGAGCGACGCGGCACGTGTGGAAGAGATTCCGCCGAAGGAGCCGAGCTTTAACGCCGTACCGCTCAAGTCTGCGCTCAAGAAACGGCCCGCGCCATCCGCCTCGCCGGCCGCCACGCCGCTCGCAACACCCCTCGCGCCACGCCAGGACCACCACCACGCTAGCTTCAAGTCAGTATAAACATTAGACTACCAAACACGGCTTAAATATACAGGTGCTCCCACACAGCAGTTATTTCTAAGTACGAGTGTTTAATGAAAAAAAAGCTGTTTATTAATTTTGATGATGTCAACATTGATTTATTGAAAAATATGAAATTATTTTTTTTTTGTATTAGACCTATTAATATAAGTCCTATAAATGTAATTAAATAAAATGCTCGCGATAATCAAACATCTCTTTAATTTTAATTTTTGAACAAATAAACATGCTACACATTTTTTTTCTTAAAAAACAAAGTCAGTATAATAAAAAAATATTTGGGCAAACATAGAAACTAATTCAAAACAATAAATAAACAAAAAGTTGACATTCTAAATAGAACCAGAGATTCTAGTTTTTACCCTAAGGTGACGTCAGTCTGTGAGGTGGACAAAAACCTCCACCACAATAGATATGATAAATTTATGTCAATCGCGTCACAAGATAGTCGTAGGGTATGGTTATCATGGTATCGGGCATTGTGGTATCTTCGTTGTCTAAGATGCTTCATATATATGGGGCTTTAGCTACTTATATTGGAATCTGGGTTATTTATATATATTTTTTAGTATTTATTTTATATAATATTGTATAACATTATATATCAGCGTGTAACATTTTATTACGATATGTTAGAGCAGTGGTTCCCAAAGTTGATTGGGCTCTTCAAACAAAATTTAGTTATGGTAGACGAAAAGAGCACATAAATATCGGTACTGTACTACTAGAGACACACTGTTTTAGAGAATATCTCATATAGATAAACGCTCGCTCATATTTTTTTTTTATATAAAGCATTTATATGCATGTATATTTGTATGTAAAAATAAAAAAAAATATATTACTTTTTTTACAATTAAAAGAAAATCAGAGATAAAATGTTATACAATGTTGTCCCACATTAACGCCGTGTGGGAGCACCTTTATAATTTCATAAGTTTCTATGAATAATTTCAAATTTAGAACGTATATTTTGCAGTGTGATGTTACAACAAGAATATAATTCAATTTCAAATAATGATAATAAAACAATCATAATTCAAGGAATTAATAACTAGAGAACTCTAATTAAATAGATTGTTAAATAATTAACTAAATCATCAACATGAATAAGAACATCGACACATTCATATATTAATTCTTATTTATTGTTAATAAACGTAATAATGTTGAATCAATGTATTATTGGTTGAGGGCATACATGTGAAGTTGTTCGTTTATTTCCATAACGCGCGGCTGCAGGCGGCCGCCGCCTAAACCGAGGATCCGCATATGGTAATAGTCCCGACGTTAAGCAATGTTGTCGATCAAGCCACACCATTAGGTCTACTCCGAAAAACGGAACGAAAACCATATATAGCACGTTTACCACACATAGCAGTTGCGTACCTATCCGCTATTGCAGGGTTTCTGAAACTTTCGGTTCCACTAACTAGCGTTAAAGATTCCAGATAACAGCCTTTTAGCTAACGAATTCCCCCAAAAATTATAAAATTGTTTGTTGAAGGAAGGAAGGTTTTTATTTAAATAAAAGGTTACATTTATGTAAATTCACTGCCAAAATATAATAACACTTTAATGTTAATGTGATGAGTGGGGGATATTTTTTGTTGCAAACTGAGTCAATTTTAGGACTAATTTAGGTAAATTTTAATTTTCATCGTCAAGTGATCGAGCCACCATTACGTAAATTTTGTCGCGACCCCTTATCGTCGAATGGCGAACCCCTATGGGTTCGCGTATTTACTTTGAGAAACTCTGCCCTATTGGGATACGGAACGAGCGACGCTGTGTATGGGCGATGTAGCTTTGTTTAGTTTTGGTTACGCTTTGAAGGGTAGACTCAAGAGGCCTACCGACGGCCCGCTTTGCCTTAAAACGAGTTCATACGCGTGAAATTTTTCACATAATGTATCGTGTATTATGTACGCTTTTAACTACTGTAATACTAGATACGGTAATTAAAATAATAATTCAGATTCTAGATACGGTAATTAAAATAATAATTCAGATTGATCATTTCAATCTAACACTTAAGTATTTTGACACAATTCACCAAATTATATAGTGAATTATTTAATAAAAGTACAGTTTTAGTGCCCTTCTCTAATTTCAAAGAGTCCTTGTCTGAGAATACTCAATATTTTATCGAAAAATTAATTCATTTTCTTTATTTTTTATGAAATACTGTTTAAATTATTTATTAATTAATTTTAGCTATTTGCAAAGGGATGAACTTATGAAAGACTGTTAGAATTGTACAGGTTGTGCGTCACAATACATGATACATATTTATCAAATCACGCGCCTGGTCTCATCTTATAGAACATGCATCGGTGCATTGCACGCTTCCGTCTATCATCTGTCTTCGTATCTCCTAACTTTGACGTCTAATGCTCAATCCACTCGACTCCAGAATACCTACTAATAAAACAACAGTATCAACTCTTTTTACTATACAATTACAGATACTAGAAGTTTATCGAGTGGTCTCAGTATCAAACACTTGCATTCGTTGTCAAAATTAATTTTATACCATTACCAATTTTTAATGTATACTCTGGCATTGGATGAATGTTTTCAGTATTCAATGAGATTATGTATATTATAATACTCTGAAACTTGTTGTTGTGTTGCATGTAAACGTATTTTGGACATTACAATAGATCTGAATTTATTTATTCTGTTACCTTATTTTTCATTCTCAAAATTATTGGTTGTTTTGGTTTTGCTTGTTGGTATGATTTTAAGACCTACTATTAGGTATATCTTGTCTATTCTAATGAATTGCCAAATGCAATAGATATTATTATTGATCAATAATGGCCGGGATGCTTATTTAGTTGTTTATAAAAGTAACGAAATGTGTAGATTATTGGTTATACAACAATAGACCTTAGATGATATTAGAGTAACGATCTATATAATAATAGCAATCTCACTTCTCTGTAAGATATGAAAAATATGACTCTTATAAAATAACTTTTACGTATGGGCATGATATCGAAATAAATATCATATCATAATATGCATTGAAAGTAGACCACGACACTAAAATATTTTACATCAATAAACACGCTAACACTTTTCACAATATCACTTCTTCAGCAATAGCATGATAAATTAATTGTTTTTCTTTTCGGTAAACAGCAGTCGGCCTGTTCGCGTAGGCAACGCGGTGGAGAATAAAGAGAACGCCCGTCCTTGGGAGGGTGAATATCGTGATGACTACGCTACGGAGTCAGAACGCGTTGCCGCCAAACTCGCCCGTAAGGAAAGTCTCAACATCAAGCTAGCACTGCGTCCCGATAGACAAGAGCTCATCAACAGGTAATCTCGAATATCCACGTTATTGTCAATTTAAATACGCCCAAATGTATAATTTCTGTGTCGATAATTGAAAACGGCGCTTGGTGGTGCTTAAAATGATGATTAAATTTATGCTTAGGTACTATATTGATAGCGCAGTGATACAAACTGGATTTTCTTTGGCCCTAATATTAAAGAAAGACTACTTTGCATGCAGCTCGTGCAAGTACTTTGTATATAGGATTTTTATTTACAGCACGGGACAGTCGCTGCAGTATCAGTCAAACCAAATACTTGAAAATAGAAAATAACATTTCCAAACGTTTACGAAAATCATAATTGCTCTAGAAATAACATTATGGTCACCTGTATACGTAGTATTAAATCTTATCATGATAAAATTTTCCGTTTGTGTAACGTTCCATTGCTTGAATCTTCATTTTATGTTTTTGTCCTTCGAAAATTTAGAAATCATGGCGAAACTATTTTAACTTATTTGTCACGTACAAGTTTACATGAAAGTAGAAAACCTTTCATGCTTCTTAAATATAGAAGTAGTAGACGCAGACTGGCCTTAAAAAATAGTTTACGATGTCACTAGCACGCATTAACAAAGATCGTCTCATTTGAGAATACAGCTGACATAACAAATTTTCATTCGTTTAATTGTATATAACAAAATCAGTGTAATTTTAAATAAAAACCTTTAAATTAGTATCAAATTACAAAAAATTAAAACGACGTAACAATTGTATCTATTATCTGTAAAATATTGTTTTTCTAGTTTGTGTCTGCAGAGTATAAAATGTAGGTAATGCTCTCGTTGGTACCCCCTAAATAATTCGCAGCATGACCGAGCACCAAAAGTAGCATCCTATAAATTAGCAATTGAATGACTCAGATCAAATCATCAGTACGGGAATAAACTGGATCGCGTCAACACGGTCACGAAAAAATATTAGCAGTCTATATTTTGTAGCTTAAAATTGGAATGTTGATAAATATTAAATCTATCTTTAGGTTTGTGAGTAAACACAATTTTCTATATCAGTGTTTTGTTTTTCTTGGACTGTGCTGTATTTAGGAAATAACGTAATACTTACGTTTCCCGTTCGAAAGCTTCGATTTGCCAAACGTACAACGATGCACGCCTGGGAGTGTTATTTTTGTTTGCATCGCTGGGCAAAGTCATTGTTATCGACATTTCGCTCTTCCTGATTCTCATGTGTGTCATTTTGTACTTGGCACTGGCATTGTATTTATATTGATCGTCATTGATTCCACCTGAAAAATATGTTTCACGAAATGTCATTATTATTTTAAAACGTTACTTAGAAACATGCGCGTAACAACTAAGAGAGAGTTGTGTGTAGTGATAAACGATACTTGTTAATTAATTAAATGTAGCTCTTTATTGCGGGGCTTGGGAAACGGCCAAGAGAACGTAATAATAGTGTCTTATTGAAACATTTTCAGTGTTTGGTAAATTTTATATAAGCGGCGGCGAGTTGGCAATGCGTGTGCGCATATGTAGCGGCATAAATATCGTTGCGGTTTGTGACAGTTACATTTCTATGTAGCGGTAGTACACACTTTTTTTTTTGTCGATAGGAATATACTGGTAGTGCAGAGTGAGCACGAGCGGCAGGAGTCGTGGGAAGCGATCGGTGCTCGTCTCATCCGCCGGCTGTCGATGCGGCCCACCGCCGAGGAACTAGTCGAGAGGAATATACTCAAAAGTGAGTAAGATTGTCTCATTGGTTTATAGTCATGCTACACAATACTATTTTTTTACATTCCATAAAACTTGTAGTCGTATCAAAAGAGTGTAAGAAGTTTTTAAATAATGTTGAAGTAGGGACGGAGTTATGACGTCATAAGTGGATGTATTCCATCCTTGTCTAATAAAATTTTTTTATATGTGCGTTGCGTTTCTCAGTGAATTGTTGAAGTATTATGTGTTATTTTAGATTTCATTGAATGAACCCCATATTATGTAGGCATTATAGTTGCAGTTACTGGGAATATATATATTTTTTTATCATAGGTGTATAAATTAAGTCATACATATTTTCAGCTGTGATAGGATTAATCAAATTTTAAAATTATTTTCCAGGTCAATCACCCGCCGAAGAAAAAAAACAGAAAGAAGAAAAGAAGAGGTATCTCCTACGCAAACTTAGCTTTCGACCGACGGTCGATGAACTCAAGGAAAAGAAGATTATTAGGTTCAGTGACTACATTGAAGTTACTCAGGTATGAATATAAAGTCGTATACCGTATACCAACTTTTGTATTTTTAAAACAATGGTGTCAGTCGGCGCGTTCCTCATTTACTGTAATTAAATCAAAACTTAAAGAATATTAGGTAGAAATGTGACTTGGAAATGTGTTATGATGATACTTAAATTATTTCTCGGTGCCTAATAATAATAATAATAATAATAATAATAATCTTTATTCAAACCAAAACATAACATTCTCTTATATATATAAATTAATAATGTTGCATTTTTGGTTACAAATTAGCACCTAAATTATTGTGAGCCCCTGACCCCCAAACTAGAATTAAATCTGTTTTTTGGAAGTCAGTGATTCCTCTTATCTCAATGAACATTTTACAACCATTGTTTATATATATATCGGTATCGGTAGAACTTTTGTGTGTAAACCTATGCGTGAGTGTGTGTGTGTGCGTGTGTGTGTGTGTGTGTGTGTGTGTGTGTGTGTGTGTGTGTGTGTGTGTGTGTGTGTGGGTGTGTGTGTGCGTGTTGCCTGTGTCGTATTTGTGTGCGTATATATATTCTATTTGGTTTGCCTACTTTAACATGTCCTCTGTTTCGTGATAGTTAAATGACAATAACAAATTTTCGATAATGGTTTTCACAGTGAGCTTTGTATGCGAAAGTATTGGTTTAATTTTATTCACTCTATTGTACAGTTTTAAACTTAGCGCGTTGTATTGCTGTTTCGCCCACGAAGTCCGACATTTTATTTGATGACAAACAGGAGCTCCCGACCTCCTCATTGTTATTTTATGATCAAAAGGTATTGATGAATGGCAATGGTATGATAGTTGTTGTATCAAAATTACTATTTATACCTTAGCTGAGAGCGTGGGTGTAATGAGCTAGTAACATGTCAACAAATGACATTGCATTTGTTTGTGAGAGATAATTAATATAATTCATATTTGTACAGCAGAGTATTAGTCAATGTGGTGACTTTATATGTATTATGCAATATGATTTTGATGTTTCATATGGAAACATATTTTTGATGTAATTTTTAAAAAGTTAATATTTCACTTCAAAACCATTGTGAACATTTTCAGAAGACAAGAAGATTTCTGAAAATTTCCAGAAATGATATTCTCATTTTGAAATCTGAAGTTTGAAACGGCAAGTTTATTTTTTGTAACTTTTACTTTGTACTTTTCAATCGACTTGTAAATTTAAAAGGACCACCACCCAAGGATATACCTGGATTAGAGATCGTAACTAGATCGATTACATTATGATCAGATCTAGATTGGAGAAGCAGTATTCAATGCTCACATCTTGCCGGGAGCGGATTGTGTGTTTGATCAGCATTTCCAGAAAAATACCAATATGTGTTGAGGTTAAGGACGGAGAGGCTTTCTTTGGGACTCTGTAGTATATAAAGCGTACCTGACTATTAAATCAGTCGAACTTCCTAAATTGAAGAATACAAGGCGTCATCACTAGATATTTGATAACACTTAACGTCTCGCAAAGAAAAATCATGTGGAGCCACTAAACCTGCTCAGAGCTTAAATTCAAACCGCTTGTAAGAGGAAGTTTAATAAGGAGTATCAAGCTACATGCACAGAACTGGAAAAGCACGTTCATAAATTTGAGACTAGTTATCTCCATATGAAAATAAGAACTCTTACGAGCCAATTCTAACCAAAGACCTGGGCAATCAAGAACTCTACTGGTAATACTGCGACAGAAATTAATCGGATTGTTAAGGTGTGGGAGGAGTACTTTAAGTCCTTGTTTTGGAATAACAAAAGACATTAGCTCTGGAATCTGATAATTCAATACCAATAGAAAAGGACCCTTCCTTATTGAGGTCAGAATAGAGGCTGCTATTAAAAATCAAAATTGTGGCAACGCCGTTACAAATGCCTATGAAATTCCCATAGAGATATTTAATTATTTGGTAGATGTTAGATCTGTTTGCATATATGGATTACGAGAGCATGGGTGACCGACTGGTCGCTTTCCTTATTCATCCCGCTTCACTAAAAAGGTTTAACTAAAATTGTAATAATTTCCCCCTAATATCGTTGATATCCCACGCTAGCAAGGTGCTCCTTCGAATTCTGATTGTGAGGTTACAGGCGTATTTCTAACGTGAGATTGTTCAAGCGCATTTCTAACGTGAGATTGTTCAAGCGCAAGGGAAGAAGTTCACGCGAGCAGATTGTTAACCGCTGATTATTGATTGTCGTGAGAATGTTTCAATAAACCGCTGTTTATTTGTTTTATGGATTTTAGGAAGCTTTTCACGAAGATTTGGAAACATGCGTACCGCATAACTATAAACAAAGATTCACTTAATGAGATATCTAGTGTTTCCTATCTACTTGTATGGAGTCGAATTATTGGTGATAACAAGTTTATAATAAAATAATACAACAAAACTGAATGGCATAAAAATTTACGATCTTGAGATGTGGTGTCGGAGACGTATGTTGAGAGTAAAATGGACATACCACCACACTAACGTCTTCATCCTACAGAAGCTACATATCAAACAAAAACTTACGTCAATTATGCAAATGCAAATCCTTAAAAATGTTTGGACATATTACTCGTAACGAGAGCTCATTGGAACATTTGATGAGTGGTTCTTCAAAACAACTACGATAGAGATAGTTGGCGAAGTCTCGCAAAAACCGCAACACCATCCAGACGATCCATAACCACGACACTCCGTGTATGATAAGAAAAAGAAGAGAAATGGAAAAGGAGGAGATTCCGTGTTTGACGAGCATCATCATCATCAACAGCCGTACGACGCTGCAGAGCCCACGCATGTCCTATGAGACTACGCATTGAGTCTCGTCCGGTACGCGGTTCATTCGTTCAGACATTCTAAAACCTTTCCATCGGCCATCAGTATGTCTCGCCCACTGCCACTTCAGCTGAGCAATTCTTAGTGTAATGTCAGTAACGTTGGTAAAAAAGAGTATGCTGATGAACGATCACGTTTCGTTTGCGTAAGTCATCCTGGCAACACACGCTCGTTGAATATGACATTGAGGTAATTTGGACGCGAAGATTTGTAGTAGCTTCCCTTCCATCCAACGAGAAATCTTTTCTCGTGACGAAAAGATATGAAAATTATAACTAAAAATAAAGGGGGGCGGTGTCAGTGCCCCACTGGTTTTGGATTCGGGCATGAAATTCCACATCGAACAGGTTTTGAAGTTTAGAGCCGACGTTATTGAAGAAACCATAAAACAATCGTTCCGTTGAAAACAAATGCTAAGTTCACCAAATTGGTAAAACTGGCACTTAATAGCACAATTACAGATAAGACTCCGAATTAAAAAAGTCGGGTCTTAAACACGGTTTGAGACCTAACTTGAATGTATTTCCAAGTACACATTAAACAAATATTCATAATCAATTTGCCAGATTGAAAATCATTGTAATAATAATTTTTTTTCGAAGATTTTATTTCTTTTTCCCTGTCTTTCACTGACTATCCGTGAACATCTTTTACTTCCCTGGTACCATGACTCCCTGATTTTCCAGAAAGTGGACTGATAAAAGAAAAAAATTATACCCTGTAAAAATATCCTCATGGAGCGTAGGGGATTGGGGTGGTGGGTGGGAGGGATAGAGGAACGGCGTCATAGGAAGTTTCTACTCCGGTTAAAAATTGTATATCCGGCCCTGTTGATGATAGTAAATGTTTATTTACTTAGGCGCACGATTATGACCGGCGCGCCGACAAGCCGTGGACGAGATTGACGCCTCGCGACAAGGCCGCCATACGACGTGAGCTCAACGAGTTCAAGAGCTCAGAGATGGCAGTGCACGAGGACAGCAAACATCTCACCAGGTAATCTATGTATATATATAAATTAATCCCTATTTCCCTTGGTCACACCACCACACATAAATGGCTGGACCGATTCGCAAATTATTTTTTTCCTTTGTTTGTTATTGTCAGGAGAAGGTTCTTATAATAGAAAAAAATATGAAAATTATGTGAAAAATTTTAAAATTTAAGAATATTTAACCACCATATTGAATTATGTCTAATCTAACATTAGGTCAGCTAGTTATAATGTAATCTAAATTGGTGACCTCCGTAGCAGAGTGGTTCGCACGCCGGTTTTCAAGGTGTTGCCATCTCTGAGGTCCCGGGTTCGATTCCTTCTCGGGTCATGTACAAATTTAATGTGATATTGTTTACTTCAAGGACTTAGATATGTTTGCAGCCTATTTGCATTTCAGACTTGCTATTCTTGCTCTATTAGTCACTTGTTACTGTTATTGTCTCTCAAAGTAATTCCCGCGAGTTTCCTTTTATATTTCCCTTTGGTATAACTTTCATTTTGTTGGTACAGTCTTTCGTGAGTAAATAAACAGTTTTCTGCTAGTCGAAACCAGCCCCCTTATTCTGTAACTCTGAGGACAACCAAGATAAATCCGAAAATACAATCTATAAACAGAAGAGAAATATACATTAGGGATTTGTAATTATGACCAGACTGAGATACTTAAAACAATAGTCTAAAACGTTATTGAGTTATGTGGTTAAAATTTTCCACATTAGGTTTTTGAAATGTGAAATGAAAAAAAAATATTACGGTCCCTCCCAACCCTTTATCACCGTATTCCATCGAGTCTCTGACTTATGATGTAATTTATTAATACGTGTAAACCAGCCAACACATGATGCAAAGGCTATTGGATCATAAAGGGTCGTCCATAAATGAAACTGTCAGAGCAAAAGTGGCCTAACCTACGATTTTTTATATTTCTATTTATCTATTGCAATTTATTTAAAACTTAAATCATGATCCAAAACCGGCCTATCCCTTTGTGGAAATAGAAGTAGACCGGTTTTTCATCATAATTTATAAAGTTTTAAATAAATTACAATAAATTGTGCGTACTTTTGTGCTGACGGCATGAAATTACGTCACAAGCCAACGGGGTGGAAGAAGGAGCTCGATACACGAGGAAATGCTATGGCATATATGTGATGTTGTTGGCAGGTTCCATAGACCATGACGGCTGTGCGCGATAGGCGGGCCCGCGGCGGGGGCGTGAACTCGGCCCCGGACAGACGGACACGGACGCAATCACACGCCGACCGCAGCTGCCCGCAGCGGTAAAGTGTTGAATATTCTAAACCAACGTGCACACACACATACCACTCTGCCCTCCCTAGCCTAAATCGCAGTAACTGCAAACTTTGCGATTTTTGAGTTTAGTAACAGTATTTTTGTTTTCTTTTGATATCAAGCCGCCTAATTTGTTTTATCTATAAATACGCTAAGATTTCCATCACATGTGCAGTAAGTTTTTTTTTTTAATTTTTTTTATTCAATATAATATCAAAACCGTCGAATATGCAGTAACTTTGCTGCGTTTTAAATATCTTAAAACAATTTAGCAAAAATCTCGAAGCAGTAATAGGGGTTAAAAAAATTTAGTGGCTATAATTATTTAATTTTTCACGTTTCCAACTTGAAATTACAATTTATTTTAGTATTCTTGCTTTTTTTACACTTTGAATAAAAATTTTTATCATAAACAGTGATTTGTTAAAAATACACAAAATTTAATCTTCACTCGCGTTTTTCTCGATTTCTTGTTTTTGGTATTACTGCGGTTTAGGCTCGGGAACGCAGCGCTGTTCCCACGTTACATTATGTTAACGCGTATCGTGTGTGCGATCATTTAAACGATTTTTACTTGTATCGTAGTTATTGCCGAGTACAATTTATTATTACATATTTTAATTATTATTATTATTAAATCGTTTTATGTTAAGTTGACGTATTCTAAGCGTACCTATACATTCTTTGAATTGACCTTCGCGAAAGGTTAGTGATACTGATTATTGTGGTGGAGATTATGCGCTTCGATGCTCGGTGAACTGTGAGATTTACGAGTGAATTATTTTGATATGTGAGACGTATCCGACGTAGAGTTCTTGTAGTCTTGTGATTTTTATTATATTGCTAGCTTTTAGCTTATTAGTCGTGTTAAGCTAGATTCGTTTTGAAAAATATTTATTTATTCTTATTTTAAAATTATAAATTTGCTATTATTACGGTCACAATTTCGATATTTTAATAAATAATTTCACACTTTGAGTATTTGTAGAGTAAGCGGCGTACAGCGAACGAGTTTCCGTTTAGTTTGCACTTTAGATGGTCGTACGTTAATTTGCCTCGGCTGCATCGTTCAGAACGCGAGATACTACCAATGATTTTCACTACTTATTCATTGAACTGTGAAACTATTGTTCATTGTCCGGATGTGTGACTTTTGAATGTCGGTAGATGCGGAGATATAGGTGTCATATTGGATATGAAAACGAAATGTTGTACAATCGACTCTGCGTTGTTTCTATCTGTCGAATAAAACGTCTTAGAAGTGCTTCCAATGCTGTGCAACATAACAATAATGATCTGTACAGGACTCGGTTCCTATGTAACATAAGTTGTTTAATAGCGTTCTCGTAGTTATTGAATAACTGTAATGCATGTCTGTTAGTTAATTCAATATTAATAAAAAAAAAAGAATATATTTCGATTTTTCTCAAAATTTCAATTTCGTTTTAGTACTAATATTTCACCTACTATCACTATCTCAACGAATAAAATACTGTATTAGTAAAATTTAAAAGTTTATTGTTATAAAAGTAGTTAGTTTTCATATTACGCTTCATAATGTATTCGAGGTACGTGTATAATTAATTATATGCAATAATTATTAAATGGTTTCATAATTAGAACTGTAATCTCCGCACGATGTGAGGTGAACTAAATTAAGTTTTACGAGATTATCTTAAATTAAAACTCGGTCCAGTAATGGGATTCCTTTAATACAGGGATGGATCAGTGATGGGCAACTGAGTCGTATGTTTATAGGGACATTGTGAAAGCACTCACTGACGCAGCTCAATGACGGACGAGGCGTAGATAGGTTTTATATAAATCCATCTTGACGACGCGAGCAACCTTAGTGGGAACAACTTGTAGTCGACTTGTCGCTCTAGCTTAGACGTAAGCTATACAAAGTCGAATTAACTATTCCGATTAAACAATTAAAACTAAAATTATGGAATGACTATTTAATAAATTGTAGTTGTCATGTCAAAGTACTGCCCTTTGAGATTACATTCTTTAGTTGGTAAACCTCGTATCTCGGTTCGGTCTTTATTTGAAATATACGAGTTCTAGAAATAATAAACGGTTAACAAAATCAAATGACTGTAAATTCTCTTATAACATAATTACAAAGCTTGCTTGACAGAAGTCGCGCAGTTTGTAACTGAATATTTTTAAATTTCGAACGCATCAATATTTTTATACGAATATATATCAGATGTGGAGTTATGAGGTTTGCTTATTAAGGTGACGATACGGTATATGAATGGTGACATGTTTTTCTAATATTTTTTTTCTTCATTAAAACAATCACTATTGTAGGTCGACTTGATAGTATAACGAGCAATAATAATAATGCTATCGGTCTGTTTCGATTGTTTAAAAGTTTTAATGTTGAGATTTTTTTACACAACTGTATAGGTAGTTTACATCGTAGTCTAACTTAATAGATAGGGATCAGTTTAATTTAATAAATCATTTTTATAATGCGATATATTATTATTGTTCAGTAGCGGTGCCATTACTCGTGACGTGTTCGATACTCGATCAATACCAAATACAGTTCTTGTTGAAATCTATATCTTATGGATTTGTCTAACTGTCAATTTGGTGAAACAATCTTTATAATATTTAAAGAATGTGCATAAAGTTAGCTGTGACATAATTTGCACTGTCATCATGTAATTTGCATAGGTAATAAGAACATATATATATATAATACATGATATCAACTCCAATAAGAATTCATTGCAAAGTTAAGATAGTAAACTGCATAATGTTTATACAATGGTTATTCTTGAGACCATTCCAGTTGAAAGTGGAAGCCAAAATAATGACTTATTTTTCTAAACGATTTTGTTAGATTTGCAATAAAAAGTAAGGTAACATGTAGCTGTTTATCGATATATAAATATATAATAATTAAGACATTCAGATTCCCAAAGATCTAAGGCTCAACTAAATTCTTTTAGCTAGCTTACATATTATTGCCATTGTTAACGTATCTATTTGTATATTGCGAAATGTTACATATTGGCCGATATTAGTTTGTCTTGAGTGTGTTTTGATGTATACAATAGTATTGATTTAAATCTTACAGGCATCACAATATTATATAGTGTGTATATAATATAATAATTTACCAATAAAATGTGATACGAACTTTCTTATTTTAATAACCTTATTTTACTAAGTCTGTCCTTAATTATTATGAATATGTTATATTATTATTATCGTTTAATATTTAAGGCTAGACGGACGCAACATTTGATTTCAGCTGTTGCTGAATATAATTCGTTATTTGTCTAGCCTCTCACAGGTTCGACGGGATAAGTAAGTGGGCTTTGCAATTGCTATTGAATGATCTTTAACAAAGCAGAAAAAAAAAACTGCAACTATCTGCCGACTAGTTTTGTGCAGATACTTTCTGTATTATACGTATTTAACGGATTTCATCCACAAAATGTGGTCTGGTTAATTTATCTTATTATATTTAGAAGCAACTTAAATCAAGTGTTTTATAAATTGCGTTTTGGTGCTCAACGAGCAACAGTACAATACTGTTATCTTATGGTCCACATGAAATTCTATTCTGTAGCGTATCGTTTACGCTGTAATATATTGAATTGATAACTATAATATTCGATATAGATTACATTAATAATCACATACGCTATTAAAATTATAAAAAAAAATATACTGTACTTGGACAATCAGCTGGAGGCCAGTTTTATAAGATATCATCGTAAAGTTGAATAGAATTTATATAACTTGTGGAATACAAGCTGAGCGCTTGTAATTATGTACTTGTTACTTGGTACCTAGGAGGTGTATTTGTATTACATGGCAACAGAATCTAATGTGATTAGGATGTTTCTGAAGCAATTATAACGATAAACATTATTTTTTATTGATGTCTGTATATAATTTTAATATCATGTACATTTATGGAATCTCTTTTTATTTCCATTGATATCGTGCGTATCGTTTGTGCTATTACATTAAATATAATAAAAAAATGCTAACTTCAGTAATCTGTATACTGTTGCTTTTATTTTGAATATTGTGTAAATTATTAATGACGTACTGTAATGAGTATATTTACTGATAGCCATAAAATAACTTGTTTTATATAAAATAAGTTTGTAAATACCATGATTATACATTAAGTTTTATACTTGATTGTGTTTGTTTTATCTCCATACCCTTTTTGAGTCTGATCATATAATGTAGATGTTTTCTAATTGAAGGTATATTCTTTATTATCATATTTAGGATCAACAAGTTATGGATATCACAAATGTAACTTGAGACTACGAGTTTATTGCGTGAAATGTTGCATAAAACATTATTCTTCCTATGTACCTACTAAATGTCTGAAGTATGGATAAGAGTTTACGGTCGGTAATGGTTCAGCGAGGACTATGTATTAAAGCGTAAGTATTAGGGGTTTATTATTAAGTCCGTCAGCAATCCTGCTCAAACCATAGCGGGCAGCCTCGCGCTTCTCCGCTCCGCAATATTACCCACATAATCATTTCCTTTGCTTTCCCTTTTCTTTTTTCTTCTTTAGAAATAGTGCTTTAATAAGCGATTCCATTAATTTGTCCAAACACATGAGATTTCTTGCCGAATGCAGAGATTAAATTGGTAAAGAGGAGGACGAGGCAAATGTGTACAAAGATTACGTGGTGTCTCGGCCCTTAATATAAGAATGAATTTGAATTAATATGTCTTATTACATTATTATACTATGAAAACTTTAGTACATATAATATAAATAATAGAACTAAATAAATTACAATAAGCTTTTTATATTTTATACCCAAATACAACGCTTGTTGCAATTTTTTTATAAACACAAATAAATATTCCATTGGAATGGTGTTAAAAATATAAGCCTAATAATTCGACGTTATTAAACTAAATTGATGTTAAAAGAAACTCATGTTTTGATAAAAACTAGTAAACATGGAAAATACATATTTATGAAGTTTTTGACCCGTGACTTTGGTACAACTGCGGTAAACTTTCGACCGTGCCTTAATCTATAGTGGTAGCGCGAGTATCTCAGGAGAAAGTTAACTGTAGTGCGTGCCCGTTTCCGCGCGCTGAGGGCGCCAGTATACGCCAGTCAATGCGCCGGCGTCGCCACCGACGCACGCGTCATGCTGCTTGATCACCTCGCTCATACCGCCCAAACAGCTCGCCCGGCGAGATAACTGAAAGCGACAGTGCTAAACAAAGTGCCCCAATAAACGTGCTCTGAACCAGTGTATTGTGTAAAGAACTTAGTGCAAAGGTCAGTGTAGAGTGCAACAACCCCACGAAGGACACGCAGGAATGACGTTCTCTGGAAACATGAAGGAGAATAAGCCTCGAACCGTGAAAGACACATGGGAGTCAGAGGTAAGGCATGTTGCCACACATTAATTATGTATCTGGCGCTCATTTGATTCACTGCATTGTTATTGTTTTTTCCGATCTCATTTGAAAGTTATCTCTCAATGGTAGTCATGAGGCTTTCTCATTATTATCTATTATTTTACTACCACTTTCTCTTTGGTGACTTATGCACTTTTCATTGAAATTTCAAAGGCTGCCTACACAGTATAACTAATGAGGAATAACATTGTATTTAAAGAAAACATCTCTAAATATTTGCAAATTTAAATTTTGCATATGTAAAGTTGACTAAATAAAATTAAAAGAATAATATTATCAAAGATATAAACTTAAAGGTAGGAATTGTCAGCACGATAAATAAAGTTCAAATTTAGTAACAGGTTCGACGTAGAGACGACGTAGCTGAGCCTGTTGCTGAAAACTAAAATCTTACACCTAAATATCTGTATATTTATCAGGTTTTTGCAAATTTCTGCAATCAATTTTGAGTTGTAAATAGGTAAAGATTTAAAATCAATTGGAGAAAGTAGGTAGTAAGCTGACGTGCTGTCGACTGTATATGTCAGCTATTTTTGACCGGGAATCGAACACGCGACCTATTACTATAACATTTTCTATATGTTTAGGTTGCCTTTCGAAAATGTGATTTAAGGTAAAAAAATACTTACAATGTACTTTTAAAATAGTGATCTACATTCTGTTTATTTAAACATAACAAAAAGATCTGAATAATAATACCACACACCACAGAATAATAATACGTCTGTCTGTGGTTATATCTTAACTATCCAATATAGGTTTCACGTTACAATTTCCAATTGTAAAATTATAATAAATGTAGGTGGGGAAAGTTTTTTGTAGGTATTACAAATCAAAACTAGCTAAGCAAAAACTTGACATCTTATTTTTCAGTCAACGAATTATCAGCAAAAGCAGATTTAGTTCGAGTATATAAATATTTTGTAAATTGCTGTTTAACAAGACTTCGTCTTTAAAATACTTTTCTCTTCCTAGTGGTTAATATATTTGTTATGTTTTAAAATTTTACTGAGAGCTTTTCCATTGACTGCGTTATAAATTTTCTACTTTTTCTGATTTATAAGTAATTTATCCTTTATATAAAAGTCATAAATTCTCAATTCGAATCAGCTATTAATATTTGTACTTCAACAGCGTTTTCTTGAATAAGTCGCTTTTGAGATAAGTAATATTTGTCATTTTTTTTGAGTTTGAAGTCGGTTCTTTTTTTGAAAAAAAGTTTTTGTTTCATGCTTTTTTACCATATTGAGACTTTTATATAATCGGTAATACTAAATATTTATATAAATAAAAATATTCTACCAGAAAGTTGCACAAACGTCCATTAAAATTGACATTAGTTTATAGCGACATTATTCATACAAATTTGACATTGATTAGATCTTATAGGAGTCATTAAACCTTAATGAACGTTTGTGCAACTGACCGTATATAAATAAAATATAAGGAAGATTTTGTTTATTTGTTCGACATTTTTTTTTTTCCAATGATTATATACTCATATTATAAAGAAGAAATATTGTTTATTTGCATAGAAAAATTTAAACCATTGGACCGATGTATAAAAGTCTACATGAAGCTATATTAAACGCAGGAACATCGGCTATAATTAACACGGGCGTAATAGCTAGTTTTATCGAAATTTGATCACAATTCAAAAAGAAATTGATGAATATACCTTACTTTCATAAAAAAATGTGTATATACTCCTTAAACACATTAAATCTTTCTTTCGAATAAATTTAAAATACGTAATCTTTTGGTTTCTTTTTTTAGCTAAAATAATCATATCATCTAAATATTTAAGTGATATCTGGTGAAAAGCGCATTATATTCTGTTATAAACGGAAAACTACTGATTCGATTTTGATAAAATTTAAATGGGACCACCTCAATCCATTAAACCTTTAGAATAAAAAAATAATTTGGTAGTCGGTCTTGTTAACCGATTTTTTTCAGAAATATCGGTAAACATACCTAGAAAACATACATCGCAGTCAAATAACCTCCTCCTTTTAAATAAAAACAATATCAATAGTATTTAGATACTCATAATAAACTATGCCCAATAATCAGACATGCTGTTGTGCAGTATATTTCTGGAAATCTTGGCCGAGTGATTCTCTTTCAAGGTGTGTTGGGGTCTGGGGTGACGTGTAATCCTCGTTATTTCAGATTGTAATTGCTACACGTACTTTAGCTATTTAATTTGGGTTCGAGTATTGTAGGTATGTTCTTATATTTATTTATGTAGGTATTATTCATTAATATAGTTTCCGTAAGGGCACAATAAATTACCAAAGCTGGACTTAAACTATAAAATTGATTTAACTACCTAACTGTAGTCTTAATGGCTAATATCTAGCGCGACCATCTCAGATTCGATGTAATGTAGAGAATATTGTTCCAGGTCTACGCCTATTTTGAAATATGAAAGACTTATCTACGTACGTTAAGTGTATGTTTTACTACGGTACTCACTCTCGTACTAATTTCGTATAAATTAGCCTTATGACTATAATAGAAAAAATAAACAAAAATAGTTATAGAGTTACACTTAATATAGTACTCTATTTAGATGTAATGAAATATGCTTCATTTTTTAAATTGAAAATGAAAAATGCTTAATTTTTTTATAAAATAAAATACTTAATCAGTTAAGATGTTTTTATACTATTTCTTTTTATACAAATATGATATTAGCCGAAAAATCTTTCTAAAAAATCACGTCACCTTTGTGATTTGTTGTTATCGAACTGATATTTTTTTCTGTTTTTACAAAACGCTTGACCGTTTTATTATGTTTTTTTAATTATTATTTAACTCTGGAGTGAAATATTTGAAAAAGTGTAAATTTAATAATGCCCTTTCGATATTTTTAACTATTGACAGTGGTTATTTCGAAACTTGAGTTACGATCGAACGATTTCACGTTATTTATATTAGCTGACAGAAAATAATCGAAACTAATCCAGCGTCCAATAATAGTGCATTACATTTTGAAATAATAGGCCCCCTAGGCGGTATGGTGTCGTCATAGTTCGTGTTAGAAGAGTGCCTTTCCTTTTAAAGGGAGATCTGTATATGGCATGTGCCACAGCTCTATAGCATCACAAAAATGTAAAGGCGTACCAAAATTAAGTACGCTGAGTATTATTACTTTTCCTGTACACTTTTAGCTGTAATGATATAAATTGATCAGTTTCTAGCTAAACGAACGATTTCTAACAGAGGAAAGTATATGCATATTAATCTAGGCTACGGCAGAGCAAAATTATAGCGAAAATATAACATGCCGCCGCTTGATCAACGCTCTACCAAAGCAGGAAATCGTTGAAGTTGATAGATTGATTTATATCGTGTATGTTTTCGTCCTTGCCCATTTTACGACCACCTCTCACTTATTTCAAGTAAGTTATTTGTAGGTGAGCTCTACTAAGGGTATAAGACATGACTGTGTCAAATTGATAATATACGCCGCCGCTTACTAAGAACGAAAGCAAACTAGTTTTGTTTTAGCAGGAAATGCTAATGTTACAGTTAACGAAAGCAGGGTAAATCTCAAAAAAAGATTTTCAAAGCCTGTTTATGATAGATGAAAAACCTAAAGACGATTTACTATTAAAGTACGAAACTTGCTTTTACACTCTTTCTTAGTAAGATCAAAACTTAAAACTGTATTTAAACATTCTATTAAACGATGAGTATTATGAACGAATGACAGTAGTTTATTTATTTTCAATGCGACGTAGGTCAAGACAAACAGGCAACATCACACGAAATGGAATATAAAATGTTAGATCTGGATCAGTACAGATTGTAACTTTCACCTGTAAGCGAGAAGAATCTAAATTGCATCACTGTTTTTATGAAAATTGACAAAGAACTTTAATTTACAAATATCTACCTGAATGTCTACCTTCCTGCATAAAATAAAAATGAAATACCAGAAGGATTGATTTGTGCATGTCGCCGACAAGTGATTGAAAGGCCGATTCCAAATATTTTTTACCGACTTCAAAATCGAAAATGAGGACGATGCTCGACGGGACCTATGTATGTTTACTGAATTCTTCGTGAATTATAGACCAATTTTCTAAATTCTCGAGAATTTTTCAAGAGAACTCGATTTTGTCGCAAGCCCTCTCTACTTGTAGGTACATGTTTTTAAAATTTAAAAATGTAAAAATAAAACTATTTAGCTTTATTTTGCTGTGTCAATTAATATGTACACTGAATGTCTTTACAGTTGGTACCAAAGCAGCATGTTTCACAAAAAAATAAAATAAATTGTAGTTAATTTTATTCAGAGATTCTACGTAGAGTTGTTGAATAACTAGGTTGACACGCAGAGGCGACATGCCATATTTGTAGTGAGGTGCAAAACAATATTTTCTCAAAAAAAAAAAAAACTAGTTGTTTTCGGTTTCTATAACAAACGTTTGATTTTCAGAACAGAAAATTCAAGCCATCTTCGGGCATTGATTATCTTAAGTTATCAAGTTGTTATAAAACATAGTTTTGCTGTGAATATTCATTTCATGTGATTAATTACAAGTAGCTGCCTACTTAATGTATAATTAATGAACATACTGTCTTTGTTTTCGGTAAGTACATGTCACAGTAGGCGGGTGTATCATCTGCTACGCTACCTACGAGTATCCTAGACCCATTTGCGATGGGACTACTGTCGCAACGATTTAATGAATTGTTTTTGTTTCTAAAACATCTATCTGGCTCGATCTGAAAGCAAAGCAAAAACAATATATTTATTTATATTATAAGGTTGGTTTGCTTGTATCACAATAACTATGTTTTATTATGAACTAGCTGTTATAAAACAAATAAACAGTCAAATGCTTCCTCTTTATAATATTAGTATAGATGTACTAATCAATTAATTTTTCGAAATACCTTTGTTTGTTTATATATAAGAAAATGCTTATTGATTTTTAGACATATTT